TTATTATAGCACAGTTCGGGACTTTTGTTGCCAGTATTCGTCTATTTGTGCAATCCATGCGGTAGAGACTCAGCAGACTCAAATACGAATACAAACTACCGAACCACCCTACTATTCAATTATGTGGTATTTTACCTCCCAGACTGGCATATACCATTCTTATGAGAAATACACGAATCCTTCGTTTCAGATCCTAGGTGGCCGCCATTTTGGGACTTTGCACGTGTTCGCGGCCATCTAAACGCACGAACAGCGGTGATTTGCCGTCGAGTGTCTGCAACTAAAATCGGACACTCGAGTAGGCGAACACCGCTGAAACCTCCATAACACCGTAAATTTGTGCTGAAACTACCGAACGCCCTGCCGTTCGGTAGATAGGATATATTACATACGGGGATTCCAGTGACCAGCAAGATATACACGGATGGCAGGATTTTCGTGCCTTTTCATCGCACTAACGAGGACCGAACTTTGCATCGCACGAACTTTGAAGTCCCATAACTCCCGAATGCTTTCACCAAATGGGATGATTTTTTAATATGTTGTTCCTCTAGATGAAGGGTGTACTCCAAGTATTTGGGGTACATCCAAAACTTGGGTAAAAATGTGTGTGTGTTAATTATGTTAACTGTTTATCTGAGGGGAGGAGACGTGTGGGATGTACCATGTTTGTGATTGGGTACTGTACTAATTATGTAGGTGTCGCCCCCCCAATGGCAGAATTGCATAAAAGGAGAATCCCTGTCAATAAAAGCCAGTTCTGCTTGACCCTTTAAAACGTAGCCTCGTCTCGTTCTTGGAAGGGGATTTTATGCCTGACTCTACTCTTCGATCTCGTGGATGGGAATAAGAAACTCCATTATTACACAGCAGCTTGCCAGGAAAAGGACGTCTCCAACAGCTGATACCCCCTTACAACCTGGGTAGCCGTTATATATATGCTCTCCCCCTTCACAATAGATATGAAAGATAGGCCCAACAGTCTAGGGAAATATGGTTAACCATAACACTGCAAATATTGGTGAAAAATGGTCCCCATTCCCAACATTATGGAATTATATAAATCCATCCAAGACAGTATCCAGATCAATAACTTGCCAAGTGTATAATGATAATGCATTTGCAATTGTACATTTATCTTTGTTGTATAATTAACAACTTGTAAATGTGGTGTTCAATAAATAAGTTAAACCAAGACTGCCTTCAGAATTCTGGGAGCCCCTTACAAACCCACGGGCTGGTCCCAACCACACTCCCAGACATATATGCACAGTCACACTTTCCAAGAGAGAGACATTCATTCACAGAAACACACAGATATGAATTCTAGGCCCACTTGTAGAAACACAAACAGATAGACAATCACATATACAGGTGCACACTGACAAACATACACACAAACACCAATACACACTGTCAGTAGTGATGCACCGCACGGTTCGCTGGCGAATAGTTCCTGGCGAACATAGCATGTTTGCGTTCGCCACGGTGGGCGAACATATGCGCGGTACGATCCGCCCCCTATTCATCATCATTGAGTAAACTTTGACCCTGTACCTCACAGTCAGCAGACACATTCCAGCCAATTAGCAGCACACCCTCCCTAGCAGACCCTCCCACCTACTGGACAGCATCCATTTTAGATTCATTCTCAAGCTGCATGCTTAGTGAGAGGAGGGAAAGTGTAGCTGTTATTGATTTGATAGGGAAATGGATAGCTAGGTTAGTGTATACAGTGTCCACTACAGTCCTGAAGGACTCATCTAATCTCTGCTGTAAGGACAGCACCCCAAAAAGCCTTTTTTAGGTCTATAACATCAGTCTGCTTTTTTTCTGTGTAATGTAATTGCAGTTGCCTGCCTGCCTGCCAGCTTCTGTGTCAGGCTCACAGTGGATACTGTGCCCACTTGCCCAGTGCCACCACTCACTCACTGGTGTCACAATAGCGTGCATTTAAAAACCCAAAAACTTTTTTCACTGTTATAGATTGAATAGCAGTTAGTTGTCTGCAAGCGTCTGTGTGTGAGGCTCGCAGCGTATTCTGTGCCCACTTGCCCAGTGCCCCCATTCACTCACTGGTGTCACAATAGCGTGCATTTAAAAACCCAAAATCTTTTTTCACTGTTATAGATTGAATAGCAGTTAGTTGTCTCAAAGCGGGTGTGTCAGCCCTACAGCGTGTACTCTGCCAACCTCTGCCAGTTCACAGTGCCACTCATATCTGGTGTCACAGTAGCTTGCACGCATAGTACCACTAATCGAAAAAAAAATGACAGGCAGAGGCAGGCCACCCCGCAGGGGCCGTCGTGGTCGTGGTGCTGTGATTCCCTTTTGCCCTAGAATAATGCCCAGTTTTCAGAGGCCAGGTACCCTGAACTTGAAAAGTTCTGAGGACATAGTTGACTGGCTAACACAGGACACCCAATCTTCTACAGCTTCCGCTCGGAACCTTGACGCAACATTCTCCTCCAGCTTAGCTTCGGGCACCTCTCAAGATACCACTCACCCGCCTGCCGCCACCACCAACACTAGCACCACAGCCGCTTCACTTGGTATGTCAGAGGAGTTATTTACACATCCGTTTGAAGAAATGAGTGATGCGCAACCATTATTGACAGAGGATGTAGATAACAGGGATATGTCTCAATCAGGCAGCATTACACATGTACGGTGTGATGATGATGATGTTGTACCCGCTGCTGCTTCCTTTGCTGAGTTGTCAGATACAAGTGAAGCGGTTGATGATGACGATGCGTCCATGGATGTCACATGGGTGCCCGCTCGGCAAGAAGAAGAACAGGGCGAAAGTTCAGATGGGGAGACAGAGAGGAGGAGGAGACGAGTTGGAAGCAGGGGGAGGTCGTCGCAAGGAGCTAGTGGCACAGTCAGACAGCATGCATCGGCACCCGGGGTCAGCCCGACAGCACGCCAATCAACGCATGCTGTGTCCACCACCAGAATGCCGTCATTGCAGAGCTCAGCAGTGTGGCATTTTTTTTGTGTGTCTGCCTCTGACAACAGCGATGCCATTTGCAACCTGTGCCAAAAGAAACTGAGTCGTGGGAAGTCCAACACCCACCTAGGTACAACTGCTTTGCGTAGGCACATGATCGCACATCACAAACGCCTATGGGATCAACACATGAGTACAAGCAGCACACAAACTCAAAGCCGCCATCCTCCTCCTGGTCCAGCATCTTCAGCCACGTCAACCACTGCTGTCCTCCTTGCCCCCTCTCAACCATCCGCCACTCCGTCTCTCGCCTTGAGCAGTTCCTGCTCATCTGCCCACAGTCAGGTGTCTGTCAAGGACATGTTTGAGAGTAAGAAGCCAATGTCAGAAAGTCACCCCCTTGCCCGGCGTCTGACAGCTGGCTTGTCTGTACTATTAGCCCGCCAGCTTTTACCATACAAGCTGGTGGAGTCTGAGGCGTTCAAAACATTTGTAGCTATTGGAACACCGCAGTGGAAGGTACCCGGACGAAATTTCTTTTCACAAAAGGCAATCCCCAACCTGTACTCGATTGTGCAAAAGGAAGTAATGGCATGTCTGGCACACAGTGTTGGGGCAAGGGTCCATCTGACCACTGATACCTGGTCTGCAAAGCATGGTCAGGGCAGGTATATCACCTACACTGCGCATTGGGTAAACCTGCTGACGGCTGCCAAGCATGGAATGCGTGTCTCTGCAGAGGAGTTGGTGACACCGCCACGACTTGCAGGCAGGCCTGCTGCCACCTCCTCTACTCCTCCTACTCCATCCTCTTCCATAACCTCCTCGGCTGAGTCCTCTTCTGCTGCTGCGTCTTGCTCCACATCAACGGCACCCCCCCAGCTCCCCAGGTACTATTCCACATCCCGGATACGGCAGTGTCACGCCGTCTTGGGTTTGACTTGCTTGAAAGCAGAGAGTCACACCGCACAAGCACTCCTGTCCGCCCTGAACGCACAGGTGGAAAAGTGGCTGACTGCACAGCAACTGGAGATCGGCAAAGTGGTTTGTGACAACGGAACAAATTTGTTGGCGGCATTGAAGTTGGGCAAGTTGACACATGTGCCGTGCATGGCACATGTGTGTAATCTGATTGTACAATGCTTTGTGCATAAGTACACAGGCTTACAGGACGTCCTGAAGCAGGCCAGGAAGGTGTGTGGCCATTTCAGGCGTTCCTACACGGCCATGGCGCACTTTGCCGATATCCAGCGGCGAAACAACATGCCAGTGAGGCGCTTGATTTGCGACAGCCCGACACGTTGGAATTCAACACTCCTAATGTTCGACCGCCTGCTCCAACAAGAAAAAGTCGTTAATGAATATTTGTTTGACCTGTGTGCTCTGGGGAGCTGGGAATTTTTTTGCCACGTTACTGGACGCTCATGCACAATGCCTATAGGCTCATGCGTCCTTTTGAAGAGGTGACAAACCTAGTCAGTCGCACCGAAGGCACCATCAGCGACATCATACCATTTGTTTTCTTCCTGGAGCGTGCCCTGCAAAGAGTGCTGGATCAGGCCGTAGATGAGCGTGAAGAGGAAGAGTTGTGGTCACCATCACCACCAGAACCAGCCTTATCAGCATCGCTTGCTGGACCTGCGGCAACGCTGGAAGAGAATTGTGAGGAAGAGGAGTCAGAGGAGGAATGTGGCTTTGAGGAGGAGGAGGAGGAAGACCAACCACAACAGGCATCCCAGGGTGCTCATTGTCACCTATCTGGTACCCGTGTGTTGTACGTGGCTGGGGGGAAGAACATACCTTCATTGAGATCACTGAGGAGGAGGAACGGGAAATGAGTAGCTCGGCATCCAACCTTGTGCAAATGGGGTCTTTCATGCTGTCGTGCCTGTTGAGGGACCCTCGTATAAAAAGGCTGAAGGAGAACGACCTGTACTGGGTGTCCACGCTACTAGACCCCCGGTATAAGCAGAAAGTGGCTGAAATGTTACCAAATTACAACAAGTCGGAAAGGATGCAGCATTTGCAAAATAAATTAAAAAGTATGCTTTACACAGCGTATAAGGGTGATGTCACAGCACAATGGGAATCTAACAGGGGAAGAGGTGAAAGTAATCCTCCTCCTCCCACGACCACGCCGGCAAGGACAGGACGCTTTACAGACGTGTTGTTGATGGAGGACATGCAGAGCTTTTTAAGTCCTACGCATCGCCACAGCCCTTCGGGATCCACCCTCAGAGAACGACTCGACCGACAGGTAGCAGACTACCTCGCCTTAACTGCAGATATCAACACTCTGAGGAGCGATGAACCCCTTCACTACTGGGTGTGCAGGCTTGACCTGTGGCCTGAGCTATCCCAATTTGCGATAGAACTTCTGGCCTGCCCCGCTTCAAGTGTCCTGTCAGAAAGGACCTTCAGTGCAGCAGGAGGTATTGTCACTGAGAAGAGAAGTCGCCTAGGTCAAAAAAGTCTAGATTACCTCACCTTTATTAAGATGAATGAGGGATGGATCCCGACGGGACTGACAGTGGGCGATACATCCTACTAAAAAAGGCCTGATGAGATGAGCTGCCTTGGGCTAAAAATGGTCCACACGCTGCTGTATTTTAGCTCTGAATGCCGGTTGACTTGCGTGACTTATCCGCCACCAACTAGGGTTCAAGCCGCAATGTTTTAGGGCAGTGCTCCCCAACCTTTTTATCGCCGCGGACCGGTAAACGTTTGATCATTTTTCCGTGGCCCGCTTGTTTTTATTTAATAATTTTAATTTAATTGTATTTAAACATGCCTTCAAAATAAAATACAGCTACACCAAAAAATGAATATAAAGTGATTTATTTTATTTAACTCACTAGAATGCCAAATCAATGAGAACCCTGAGCTTGTTTCTTCGCAATGAGACGGTTCCATCTGGGGGTAATAGGAGACAATGACACCCGAAGTGTGTTGCTTATGTCCAGTTTATTCCGCTGTTTTGTTTTGGTTGCTGTCTCTGCAGAAAACCCCGCTTCACACAGATAGGTTGTCGGAAATGGCAATAGGGATTTAAGTGCTGTGGTGGCAATCTCAGGGTATTCCGCCATGACTTTAATCTAGAACACCGGCAGAGTTTTTGTCTCGAACATAGTTTTAAGGCCACCATCATTTGCAATCTCCAGCAGTAGTTGTTCTTCTTGCATAGACATGCTAGATTCGCCTGATTTGTTGGCAAATGGGTCGCGGATCCATTCCTTACCAGTTCGTGGGTCTTTTGTGGTTGGGAAGTAGCGCTCAAACTCTTTTTAAAGCAAAGACAGGTGATCGTGCACCAACTGGCAGAGTGAATGTTCAAGCTCAGTCTCGCCTAAAATCCCAGCTAATGTCTGAAATATGTCCAAAATGCCTCTGTTCACGCGCCGTCCCCACAACTCCAGTTTGGCTTTAAATGCAGCTACTTTGTCTGACAACTTGAAAACAGTTGTCATTTTCCCCTGAAGGCCCAGATTGAGTTCGGCCAATCAGGAAGCGGGAGGACCCAGGAGGAGGATCAGTGTAACAATAGGGTATTTTCATTCGCTATTGTCACACAATGGGAGGGCTCGGGAGGGCGCAATGCTCTGCACCTCGGCCGCCACAGTGAAATTAAAGTTCCTCGGGCGGCCCGGTACCGTTTGATCCACGTACCGGTCCGCGGCCCGGGGGTTGGGGAACACTGTTTTAGGGCACTTTCTGCCTGGGAAACAAACATCAATTCTTCTGGCCGCTGCTACAGCAGCTGCTGCAACAATACCTAATTTTTCAGGCATGTGTACATGCCTAATTTTTCGGGCCTCTGGTGCTGCACTGTGGTTTCAAAAACCAAACCAAAAAAAAGGCACATAACAGGGATTAAACTGATAAGAATAATACTACTTAACACACCTTATAATAACGCAGAGAGAGGCAACGCAGAGAGAGGAGTCTGAAGAAGAGGAGTCAGAGGAGGAAGGTGGCTTTGAGGAGGTGGAAGACCAAACACAGCAGGCGTCCCAGGGGGCTTGTTGTCACCTTTCGGGGACCCTTGGTGTTGTACGTGGCTGGGTGGAGGAAGAGACCTTCAATGACATCAGTGAGGACAAGGAACGGGACATGGCTAGCTTGGTATCCAACCTTGTGCAAATGGGGAGTTTGCGGTTGTGCAAATGGACTGTTTGCAGTGTTTGCGGTGCGTTAAACGGGGAGTTTGGTCTGTCACTGTGAAGCGGGCGTAACCCTTACACTACCTGATCGATACAACATCATACAGTAGGTCCCCCCCTCATTATTTTTATGGACCCCACCCACCGCTCACGGGTGGGGGCGGGCAGGAGGACAGTAAGTCCCCCCCATTGAGATTTATAGCCCCCACCCACCGTGCAGGGGTAAGGGCCAGGGGGGAGGACAGTAGGTCCCCCCTTATACTTATTTACTGAATATTCCCCTGTAGAACAATGTTTGGCATTTAGTGAATATTCCCTCTTCTGCTCTGTGTCAGTGTGTATCAGGGATCCTTAGGATAGGAGTCAATCCATATCTGCCAAGTGACCCTATGTAGGGGGAACATTCCCTATTCTGCTCTGTCAGTGTGTATCAGGGATCCTTAGGATAGGTGTTAATCCATATCTGCCAAGTGACCCTATGTAGGGGGAACATTCCCTATTTTGCTCTGTGTCAGTGTGTATCAGGGATCCTTAGGATAGGTGTCAATCCATACCTGCCAAGTGACCCTATGTAGGGGGAACAGTCCCTATTCTGCTCTGTGTCAGTGTGTATCAGGGATCCTGAGGATAGGTGTAGGGGAACAGTCCTATTCTGCTCTGTGTCAGTGTGTATCAGGGATCCTGAGGATAGGTGTCAATCCATATCTGCCAAGTGACCCTATGTAGGGGGAACAGTCCCTATTCTGCTCTGTGTCAGTGTTATCAGGGATCCTTAGGATAGGTGTCAATCCATATCTGCCAAGTGACCCTATGTAGGGGGAACAGTCCCTATTCTGCTCTGTGTCAGTGTGTATCAGGTCCTGAGGATAGGTGTCAATCCATATCTGCCAAGTGACCCTATGTAGGGGGAACAGTCCCTATTCTGCTCTGTGTCAGTGTGTATCAGGGATCCTTAGGATAGGTGTCAATCCATATCTGCCAAGTGACCCTATGTAGGGGAACAGTCCCTATTCTGCTCTGTGTCAGTGTGTATCAGGGATCCTGAGGATAGGTGTCAATCCATATCTGCCAAGTGACCCTATGTAGGGGAACAGTCCTATTCTGCTCTGTGTCAGTGTGTATCAGGGATCCTGAGGATAGGTGTCAATCCATATCTCCAAGTGACCCTATGTAGGGGGAACAGTCCCTATTCTGCTCTGTGTCATTGTGTATCAGGGATCCTTAGGATAGGTGTCAATCCATATCTGCCAAGTGACCCTATGTAGGGGGAACAGTCCCTATTCTGCTCTATGTCAGTGTGTATCAGGGATCCTTAGGATAGATGTCAATCCATACCTGCCAAGTGACCCTATGTAGGGGGAACAGTCCCTATTCTGCTCTGTGTCTGTTTATCAGGGATCCTTAGGATAGGTGTCAATCCATACCTGCCAAGTGACCCTATGTAGGGGGAACAGTCCCTATTCTGCTCTGTGTCAGTGTGTATCTGGGATCCTGAGGATAGGTGTCAATCCATATCTGCCAAGTGACCCTATGTAGGGGGAACAGTCTCTATTCTGCTCTGTGTCAGTGTGTATCATGATCTCTGAGGACAGGTGTCAATCCATATCTGCCAAGTGACTCTATGTAGGGGGAACAGTCCCTATTCTGCTCTGTGTCAGTGTGTATCAGGGATCCTTAGGACAGGTGTCAATCCATATCTGCCAAGTGACCCTATGTAGGGGAACAGTCTCTATTCTGCTCTGTGTCAGTGTGTATCATGGTCTCTGAGGACAGGTGTCAATCCATATCTGCCAAGTGACCCTATGTAGGGGGAACAGTCTCTATTCTGCTCTGTGTCAGTGTGTATCATGGTCTCTGAGGACAGGTGTCAATCCATATCTGCCAAGTGACCCTATGTAGGAGGAACAGTCTCTATTCTGCTCTGTGTCAGTGTGTATCATGGTCTCTGAGGACAGGTGTCAATCCATATCTGCCAAGTGACCCTATGTAGGAGGAACAGTCTCTATTCTGCTCTGTGTCAGTGTGTATCAGGGGCTCTGAGGACGGGTGTCAATCCATATCTGCCAAGTGACCCTATGTAGGGGGAACAGTCTCTATTCTGCTCTGTGTCAGTGTGTATCATGGATCTCTGAGGACAGGTGTCAATCCATATCTGCCAAGTGACCCTATGTAGGGGGAACAGTCCCTATTCTGCTCTGTGTCAGTGTGTATCAGGGATCTGAGGACAGGTGTCAATCCATATCTGCCAAGTGACCCTATGTAGGGGGAACAGTCTCTATTCTGCTCTGTGTCAGTGTGTATCATGGTCTCTGAGGACAGGTGTCAATCCATATCTACCAAGTGACCCTATGTAGGAGGAACAGTCCCTATTCTGCTCTGTGTCAGTGTGTATCAGGGGCTCTGAGAACAGGTGTCAATCCATATCTGCCAAGTGACCCTATGTAGGGGGAACAGTCTCTATTCTGCTCTGTGTCAGTGTGTATCATGGTCTCTGAGGACAGGTGTCAATCCATATCTGCCAAGTGACTCTATGTAGGGGGAACAGTCCCTATTCTGCTCTGTGTCAATATGTCATATGTCAGGTATCAGTCCATATTCATTGTGATTTAGGAATGTTAGGTGATTTCTGCCCTTTATGGATTAAAACCAGACTCTGCATCAACTGTGTAATTTTCCATGGGAGTTTTGCCACGGATCCCCCTCCGGCATTCCACAGTCCAGGTGTTAGTCCCCTTGAAACAACTTTTCCATCACTATTGTGGCCAGAAAGAGTCCCTGTGTGTTTTAAAATTTGCCTGCCCATTGAAGTCTATGGCGGTTCGCCCGGTTCGCCGGTTCGCGAACATTTGCGGAAGTTTGTGTTCGCCGTTCGCGAACCGAAAATTTCGGGTTCGCGACATCACTAACTGTCAGACATATCAGGCACACACAGATTGTCAGGGATTACCTTAGTTGGGAGTCCGGTATGCAAAGATATATGCTCACTCTTCCAAATAAACAGAGACCAAGGTGACCAGATAAGGAACCACCAGGCCTGTGAGTCTGTGCAGGATATTGCAGGATATTGCTCCAAGTCGCAGTACAAGGGGGCTATGCAGGATAATGCTCCAAGTCGTAGTACAGGCAAGGACACATGCAGAATCATCG